AGACCCTGACTCATAATTTAAATAGTATAACATGGCAGAGACAGTGCTTCAAGGTCTTATACCTTGAATCCAATCCCCAAAATATAGATAATCTTAATTTTCAATCTAAAATAAATATATATATATAAATATTACTAATGCTTTTATTCTTATTATTAATAAATTAGTTTCTATTTTATTATTACTTATAATATATATATATGATTATACAAAATTGGTATTTTAAATATGAATTTCCAATTTCTTTAAGTAAAGATATTTTTTAGAAATAAATAATATGATATTAAACTCATAAATTTTATTCTTTTAACTCAACAAAATTAATTTATCCAATTTATGTAGATTATTTCCTATTCAATGGAATCTAATTTTATGTGTTATTCCTCAAACAATATTGGGATTATTCAAAGATTACTCCTAATTTTAGCTGTTTTATTTTTTGCTTGAAAATAAAGGCCTGAATTAAATCCTTATTATAATACAACAAATAACTATTATATTTAAAAAAAAATAAAACAATATTGATAAGACTTGAAATGGCAATCACTTTCAGACTAAAACAACATTCTTTACAAAAGATTAAGAAGTTGATATATTTATAAATAATTATTTCTAAATTTAATACTTTTATTTGATATCTATACTTCTAGATTATATCTGAAGTTTATATTTTTTAAATTTGGAAAAATATATTTAAAATTAAGTAAGACTTCAAATATTCTGATAAAATATTCTAAATCTAATAAATAAAATTAATCAGATATTAAATGTTCATGAGATATTTTAATTTGTAGTAATAATGAGAAATAGATATTAATTTATAAACTGCAATATTATTAATATATCCAAATATCTAATATAGGATATTAAGTATAATGATTTTTTTATTGTATTTTCTTAAAATATTTATTTCAATTATTATTAAAACTTATTAGTTTTTTTAAATGTGCTTGATTGTGTTTATATTTCTTTATTTCTCTTTCTATAGTTTCTTATAGAATTATTAGCTAACAACAATCAAAAGCTTAAATAATTAATTAAATAATTCCACAAACTATTCCACCTACTTCAGATATATTTTAAACCTATTCAGCTGAGATTTCTAATATCGGCATAAATTGTTATAATTAATTCTATGTTATTTAACTAATTGTAATTGATTCTAAAATATTATAATTTATCCATAAGAATTCTTGTATTTTTTCCAACTATTTTCTGAATCCTTAATTTAAAAATTCAATAATCTCATTAAATATTAAAGATCTTTTATACTACTTAAGATGGATTATTATCTTCCCTAATTTCTCTAAACTTATATGGATTTTTGAGAAAGCTGATTAATAATTTTATATCTTAAACTATACTCTTAAATTCATCCTCTTATTCTTAATAATTTTCTTGGCTTTTTACATAATCATACAATTAAGATTCAAAATCTTATATTTTAGAACTTATTGATTATAGCTTTAATGTATAAATATACTAAATTCTCTCATTCAAGAATCTATTAATCAATCGCAATTATAAATATTAATCAAATGTTAAAAATTAACTAATTTGATAGATAATTTCTGGTAATAGTTTTTCAAATTTAGAAATTGAATTCTTATTTAAATTATAAATACATTATCTTATTTTTGATTTATTTTAGGAATAATGTTATTAGTTATCTTTAATTCCGGACTTGATTTATTAGTTCTAAGCACAGTCTTTACTTAAAATTACCCTTTGTATTTATTTTGCATTTTAAAAATAATAATAGAATTTATATTTCATAATATTATCACTTGAATTATTATTTATTGGTATTCTCATAAATAAAATATAGCATATAATAATAAACACTGAAGGTTTTGGAAACTATGGTTAAATGGTTATGTCATCTGACAAAAGGTTTGGACCTTTAAGTTATAAATATTACATAGGGTAATATGTGATTGTTATAATGATGAAATAATGAAAAGTTTCAGGTCATGATATCACTTTTGAAATAATTATCACAATAGTATAATAATATTTTATTTTGGTGTTGAATTGAATAATGTTAGCATTGCAAATTACAAGTCTTTTGAATGAGAAATATCTTGGATAGTTCTGCTCTTTACTAAATATGCCTTAATAAAGAAATTTATGGTATTGTGAAAAATATTAAAAAAACTTAACCGGATCAATCTGATCATCATTCATCTTGTAAAATAAGTATTAAAAGTTATGATCATCATCCTTTGACAGGAAATGCAACAGAAATGATTATCAATTTCATTTTTTGGTTTTCTTAACAATTATTTTCTTCCTTTATTTTGTCACGATATTGCAAAGAAGAAGTACAAAAATTATGATTAAGCTTATTAATCATAATCAATGTACTTTTTTTTTTTTAAATTATATTATTACAAATTGTAATAAATATCGATATTACAATCCTAAAAAAGAATATTGACAATTATTATTCGGCTTGTCCTTTTTTAAACATTAACTTTCTGGTGTTAAAGTATTTACAAGAATTTCATTATGAAAAGTTTACACTGCTAGAATACTCTCATTTATTGAATAAATTTAATGTAACTATTTAATTACCATACTATCATATAATCTTCCTATTCTACATTATCCTGCATCTCATACAACCAAAGGCTTAACTCATTAGTGCTTTCTAAGTAGGAGTTTTAACCTAATTCGAAAAACTTAATTTAAGTTCCACAAACTTCCCCTCTATTTTACTTAGTTTGCACTTACATATTCATCCTAATATTTAATGTTTTCTTATACTCCTCATATACCAACCCAGATTAGTCTTTAAGACTACTCTTTCAAATATATTTACCAAAGATACATTTCTATTGGAAAACTTTTCTTATGATTTCTGATTAAAATTGGTGCTTTTTTAATGATTTAGTATTATTATTTAATATTCATTTTAATTATATAAATCTTTTTTTAAATTAGGGTTTAATTTTCTCTTCCAAATCTTTTAGTAATTCTTTTTATTAATTTGATCTATTTGGAAATGTCTTTTTACTCTAGGAAGTTAATATCATATTAAATAATTCTACTCCTTATCCAGCAAAAATCGTATGCATTGCAATTATCCAAGGATTTTTACTTCCTATGTTTTATATTTTTTTGCAAAAAATTGAAAAACAAGAATTTTTATTTTCTTGTGTTAGGTCATAAATAAATTTAGAGTTCAAAAGTTAAAAGTCGATGTTATCAATCTATATATTCATATCATGCCACCAATTATTGTTTCAAGAACTATAAAATGGAATATTTTATAACAAAACTAAGACAGTATATGACATTCTGATTTCTCTAAGCATCTCTTTTATTATCAAATAATGTATTTTTAGCACGAGATAATAAGACAGTTAATCCTTAGAAACAGTAGGTACTTTTATGTATGTTCTATTATATACTTAGAATATCCCAAAAACTATAATAGAAGAGGGTCTAAATATTCTTTTTATTAAGCTTATGTATTTGTTTGAGCACTCTTTAAAAGTTGTTATTAGCTCTCATCAATAAAATTCATTTAATTCATCATTAAGATTTATACATCTTTGTAAATATCTAATTTGGAGCAAATCATTATTCAACTCAAAATTTAATATTAATATCAAAAAATTAAACAAAATTTGTATCTTATATTATTTATGAATTATAAAGTTAATCAAACTCCTTGATAAACTTTATTCTAATTTACTGTAATCTCTAAATTTTATAAATTTAAATTGAAAACTTGAATTTTTATTCTTATTTTTAATTAANTATTTTGTCACGATATTGCAAAGAAGAAGTACAAAAATTATGATTAAGCTTATTAATCATAATCAATGTACTTTTTTTTTTTTAAATTATATTATTACAAATTGTAATAAATATCGATATTACAATCCTAAAAAAGAATATTGACAATTATTATTCGGCTTGTCCTTTTTTAAACATTAACTTTCTGGTGTTAAAGTATTTACAAGAATTTCATTATGAAAAGTTTACACTGCTAGAATACTCTCATTTATTGAATAAATTTAATGTAACTATTTAATTACCATACTATCATATAATCTTCCTATTCTACATTATCCTGCATCTCATACAACCAAAGGCTTAACTCATTAGTGCTTTCTAAGTAGGAGTTTTAACCTAATTCGAAAAACTTAATTTAAGTTCCACAAACTTCCCCTCTATTTTACTTAGTTTGCACTTACATATTCATCCTAATATTTAATGTTTTCTTATACTCCTCATATACCAACCCAGATTAGTCTTTAAGACTACTCTTTCAAATATATTTACCAAAGATACATTTCTATTGGAAAACTTTTCTTATGATTTCTGATTAAAATTGGTGCTTTTTTAATGATTTAGTATTATTATTTAATATTCATTTTAATTATATAAATCTTTTTTTAAATTAGGGTTTAATTTTCTCTTCCAAATCTTTTAGTAATTCTTTTTATTAATTTGATCTATTTGGAAATGTCTTTTTACTCTAGGAAGTTAATATCATATTAAATAATTCTACTCCTTATCCAGCAAAAATCGTATGCATTGCAATTATCCAAGGATTTTTACTTCCTATGTTTTATATTTTTTTGCAAAAAATTGAAAAACAAGAATTTTTATTTTCTTGTGTTAGGTCATAAATAAATTTAGAGTTCAAAAGTTAAAAGTCGATGTTATCAATCTATATATTCATATCATGCCACCAATTATTGTTTCAAGAACTATAAAATGGAATATTTTATAACAAAACTAAGACAGTATATGACATTCTGATTTCTCTAAGCATCTCTTTTATTATCAAATAATGTATTTTTAGCACGAGATAATAAGACAGTTAATCCTTAGAAACAGTAGGTACTTTTATGTATGTTCTATTATATACTTAGAATATCCCAAAAACTATAATAGAAGAGGGTCTAAATATTCTTTTTATTAAGCTTATGTATTTGTTTGAGCACTCTTTAAAAGTTGTTATTAGCTCTCATCAATAAAATTCATTTAATTCATCATTAAGATTTATACATCTTTGTAAATATCTAATTTGGAGCAAATCATTATTCAACTCAAAATTTAATATTAATATCAAAAAATTAAACAAAATTTGTATCTTATATTATTTATGAATTATAAAGTTAATCAAACTCCTTGATAAACTTTATTCTAATTTACTGTAATCTCTAAATTTTATAAATTTAAATTGAAAACTTGAATTTTTATTCTTATTTTTAATTAAAAAAATAAGCAATATAAATTATGTTCAATTATTGAAAAAAACCCAATCATAATAAAGGATTCTTGTTAAAAATATGATGACTTCATTTGTTTATTTTATAGATTAGAATACATTTTTAATGGATTATAATAGAGTATAATTTGGCTATATGATAAATTTTAGAAAATGAAAAACTTAAGATGAAACATAAATTATGTTTGAATAATAATAATAAAGTGAATATTAAAGTTTATTAGTGAATATGAACATATATTAAAGGGAAAATATTGAAATTATTTTATTAATTTAAAACTATTCAATAAGACAATTGGAATTTGATTTTAATAATGAAATAAAATATTGACAACCTGGTTTAAGTTTTGAAAAAAAATTATGGTACCATTTGAATTCTCTTTATTCAATAAAGAGAGATAGAAAATAAGATTTAGATATACTTAATATTCATGGATTAAAGGAAGAAGATTAGAAGAAAGTAAGAAAGAAAGTTGATTAGATAAGGAAATTTTGTATCTAAAAAAGTATATATAATAGATAAATGTTGTTTTAAAGGATTAAAAGGAAGTGAAATATTTGTCAAAACAGGAACACTTTTAGAATTATGTAAAAATTTAAAGAGACTTACAATAAATTCAAAAAAAAACAACGTTAATAAGCAATGTTTTTTTGAATCAATAGATTCGCCTGATGAATAATGGTGAAGATTATATTATTATTAATTATAAATTTAAAGATTATATATTTAGAATTTATATTGTTAATTGATTCCAAATCATAAGAATATAAAATTTTAGAAGCATTGCCTATATCATAGACTTACACAATCCCATTTTTAGGAATGCTATCTTCATTATCACTTTATTTAGTTTCTTAAGTTGTATTTTATATATTATCTGATTTCTTCTTTAAATAAGTATATTCATATGATCCTCTCGAAATACTATTATTAATTGTAATACTTGAATATTCGGATAAACAAATTGATTATATTCAGATACTAAATATTGATCCATATTATTTTAGATTTGATGTGGTAAATCTTAGATTTAAGTATTTTTATTCTTTTGTTCTTTTTTATAACTTACAAATTCAATATAAACTCATGTTTTTAATTCTAAAACATTCTTAAATTCTTCACATTGTTGAATAAAGGCTCTTAATTATTTTACATCCGCCAAAGCCGCTATTTGAATTTTCTAAAAATAAGACAATATTTCGTAAGTATCCTTCTTTGATTTAGCTTCCATAATACTGATTATCTTTGTTATTTCAATTCTAATTTATTATGATAAGACTACAAACTAATAATAAGAATAGGGAGGTTTGATTATAAATGGATGAACCTTGATTTAATAACATATCTTTTATTATTATATATTTAAAATCTGTCTTTATTTTATAAAGCTTATAGTGTAAATAATTGAATTATGTGATCAATTAATAAATTTTATAAATGTATAATCTTAGATTTTTTTATGTTAAATAATTTAAATGAAATTAACAACGATACTAATTTATTAAATATAAATTTCTTATTTA